CGGTCTTTTCAGTAAATGGAAATGGGAGAACTGGACAGTAATGTGCACAAGAATGAAACTGTACCACTTTCTTACACCAAACACAGAAGTAAATTCAGAATGGAAGAAAGACCTGAATGTGAGACAGGAAATCATCAAAATCCTAGAGGAGAAAATAGGCAAAAACCTGTTTGATCTCAGTCAGAGCAACTTCTTTCTAGATACATCGACAGAGGCAAGGGAAACCAAAGCAAAAATGAACTATTGGGACCTCATCAAGATAAAAATTTTCTGCATAGCACAGGAAATAATCAACAACTAAAAGGCAGCCTATGGAATGAGAGAAGATATTTGCAAGTGACATATCTGGCAAAGGATTAGTAATCCAAAATCTATAAAGAACTCATCAAACTTGGGGTGCCTGGGTGGCTCAGTTGGTTAAGCATCCAGCTTTGTCTCAGGTCATGATCTCATGGCTTGTGAGTTCGAGCCCCACATCGGGCTCTGTACTGACAGCTTCAGATTCTGTGTTTCCCTCTCTCTATACCCTTCCCCTGGTCATGCTCTATCTCTGTCTCTCAAAAATAAGTATTAAAAACATTTACTAAAAAAAAAAAAAAAAAAAAAAAAAAAAACAAAAAAAAATAAAAAAAAAAAAAAAAAAAAATCCAGTTAAGAAGTGGGCAGAAGACACAATTAAGACTTTTTTTTCCCCCAGAGAAGACATCCAGATAGCTAACAGACACATGAAAAGATGCTCACATCACACCTGTCAGAACGGCTAAAACTAACAACACAAGCAACAGCAGATGTTGGTGGGAATGTGCAGAAAGGGGAACCCTCTTGCTCTCTTGGTGGGTATGCAAACTGGTGCAGCCACTTTGGAAAATAGTATGGAGGGTCCTCAAAAGTTAAAAGTACAACTACCCGACAACCCAGCAATTGGACTACTGGGTCCTTACCCAAAGGATACAAAAATGCTGATTCGAAGAGACACACGCACCCCACTGTTTATAGCAGCACTATCAACAATAGCCAAAGTATGGAAAGAGCCCAAATGTCTATCAACTGATGAAAGGATAAAGATGAGATGTGGTGGGATGTGTCTCAAGGTTCATGAGCCTGAATCCCATGTTGGGCTCCATATTGACAGTGTGGCACCTGCTTGGGATTCTCTTTCCCTCTCTCTCTGCCCCTCACTCTCCTCCACTCACACATATGCATGTGTACGCATTCTCTCTTTCTCAAGATGTGCTATATGTTTATATAACAGACTATTAACTCAGCCATCAAAGGAATGAAATCTTGCCATTTGCAATGATGTGGATGGAGCTACAGTGTATTATGCTAAGTGAAATAATTCAGAGAAAGACAAATACCATGATTTAACTCATATGTGCCATTTAAGAAACAAAATAGATGAACATACGGGAAGGGGGAACAAACCAGAAGAGAATCTTTAAAATAGAGAGAACAGGGTTGCTGGAGGAACATGGGTGAGGGATGGGCTAGATGGGTGATTGGCATTAAAGAGGGCATTTGTCATGTTGAGTAGTAGGTATTACGAGGTAAGTGACGAATCACTAAATTATACTCCTGAAAACAATATTACACTAAATGTTAATTAACCAGAATTTAAGTAAAAATTTGAAGACAAAATATACTATTTAAAACTATTTTCAATTAGGGCCACCCATTGGCGGTAGCAAATGAAAATTTTGATGATCAAGCTTAAAACCTATGAACACGTAAACTGTTCATACTCAAATAAAGAAAACAATGGAAAATTTTTAAAAAAGCACAGAGGTTCCAACCTGCTTTGGTTATGTTGAAAAAGATACTTAAACACTTGGGGTTTGGTTTCTTCATCCAGTCATTTCCTCTGGGAATAATAACCATGGCAAAATTATCTCACAGGGCTGTTGTGTGCATCCATGTTACCACACGTGCAGAGTACTGTGAAGAGTGCCTGGCACATCATATCGTGTTTGTTAGTATGGAAAATAAAAATATTGAAAAATTTAAAAATAAAATAAAAAAATAAAGTCAATTGATTTTCAGTAAGGGTGCCAAGGCAATTTGATAGGGAAAGAATACTTCCAATAAATGGTAGCAGAACAACTGGATAGCCACATCCAAAAGAATGAAGTTGGATACCTGACACTATACACCAAAGTTAACTCAAAGTGGTCATAGACCTAAATGTAAAAACTAATGGGGCACCTGGCTGGCTCAGTCTGTGGAGCAACCCTTGATCTCCAGGTCTTGAGTTCAAGTTCCACATTGGTTTAGAGCTTACTTTAAAAAAAAAACAAACACACATAAAAAGTTAAAATTATAAAACTCTTAGAAGGAAAAAAATATTCACAACCTTAAGTGAGGCAATGGTTTCTTAGAAATGATACCAAAAGCAGAAACAACAAAATTGATTAATTGGACTTAATAAAAATTTAAAACTTTTGTGCTGCAAATGATATCAGTTAAAAGTAAAACGTCAATGAACAAAATGGGAAAAATATTTTTAAATCATAGATCTAATGAAACTCTTAAAACTCAATAATAAGGGACACCCGGGTGGCTCAGTCAGGTAAGCATGTGACTCTTGATTTCCACTCAGGTCATGATCTCATAGTTCATGAGAGATGGAGCCCCTTGTTGGGACGTGCACTCAGAGCGCAGAGCCTGCCTGCTCTCTCTCTCCCTCCCTCTCTCTCTTGCAAAATAAACTTTTTAAAAAATTTATTTTAATGTTTTATTTATTTCTGAGAGAGAGGGAGGGAGAGAGAGAGCAGGGGAGGGTCAGAGAGAGAGGGAGACACAGAATCTGAAACAGGCTCCAGGCTCTGTCAGCACAGAGCCTGATGCGGGGCTCAAACCCACAAACTGTGAGATCATGACCTGAGCCGAAGTCGGACACAACCGACTGAGCCATCCAGGTGCCCCTGCAAGATAAATAAACTTTTAAAAACTCAATAATAAAGTAATCCATTTTTTTAAGTGGGCAAAGGATATGAACAGATATTTCTCCAAATGGAGAAAAAGTGCATGAAATGATACTCTCTATTGCTACCCATTAGGGAAATGCACGTCAAAACAACAGTATCACTTCGCATCTACCAGGATGTCATAATAAAAAATACACAAATAACACGTGTAGGCAAAGATGTGGAGACCTCACACCCCTCACACATTGCTGTTGGAAATGTTAAAAGGGGCAGCCACTTTTGAAAACACTTCGCAATGTCACAAAATGTTAAGCATAGTTACTATATGACCAAGCCATTCTACTCATATATGGCCAGAGAAATGAAAACTTATATCCATACAAAAATTTATACACAGACGTCCATAGCAGAATTATTCACAACAGCCAAACAGGGGAAACAACCCAAACTTTAATTAGCTGATAGATAAATAAAACGCAGTATATCCATACGATGGAATATCGACCAGCAATAAAAAGGAACTAATCCTGATGCCTGCTACAATATGAACCTTAAGATCATTATGCTAAACGAAAGCAGTCACAGGGGCTCCTGGGTGGCTCCGTTGAGTGTCCAACTTCAGCTCAGCTCATGATCTCATGGTTCCTGGGTTCAAGCCCTGCATCAGGCTCTGTGCTGCCAGCTCGGAGCCTGGAGCCTGCTGCAGATGCTGTGTCTCCCTCTCTCTCTCTGCCCCTCCCCTGCTGTGCTCTCTCTCAAAAACAAATAAACATGAAAACATTTTTTTTACATTAAAGACCACACATGTTTCCACTTGATGTCTTGAGATGTCCAGAACAAATCTCTGCAAATCTGCAGAGATGGGAAACAGGCTAGCAGTGGTCACAGAATAAATGGCAATGATGCTAACTAGGTACAAGATTTTTTTCAGGATGAGGAAGACGTTCTACAAACAGATCATACTATTGGCCCCACAACTTTTTTTTTTTTCTTTTTGAGAGGGCGCAAGCGGGAGCAGGAGAACCCAAGCAGGCTCCATGCTCCGCAGGAGCCTCCGCACCCGCTGGATCCACGACCCGGGGGTCATGCCCTGAGCCAAAATCAAGAGTCGGAGGTTCAACCGGCTCAGCCACCCAGGCCCTCACGGTTCCACAACTCTTGAGAAAAAAACACCTTAACTTGAAAGAACGTCTTAAATACGCAGACGGTACTTCAACTAAGTTTGTTAACAAAAAAGATGTCGTCTGGATGTCGCTGATGGTGGCACCAAACGCAACGTGCTTAGAGCCGCTGAGCCACACGCTTGAACGTGGCGGGACAGCAACCTCAAGTCCTGCGGCTCCATCGCAGTATCTCCGCCTCCGCGGGGACTAGTCTCCTGTTTTCAGGCTGGTTCGAGTCAACCAACTGCATCGGTGTCGGGGGAGCAGGGCTGCCCGATTCGCCCGTGGTGTGGGAGCAAACAGCAGAGCCCCTCTCCGCGACGTCATCCTCTGTGGCCTCCAGCGGTCCCCCTCGCCCCAGGCACCGGATCCGCTGTCCAACCCCTGTCCCCCCCCATCACCAGGGTCCTCAGTCCAGCACCCACTCACACACCTCACGTCAAGTGGACCCCTCTGTCCCGCCCCCCTCCCCCAGCCACGGGGGTGCCCTCTGTCCCGTCCCCCTCCCTCCCCCAGCCACGGGGGTCCTCTGTCCGTTCCCCCTCCCCCAGCCACGGGGGTGCCCTCTGTCCGGTCCCCCTCCCTCCCCCAGCCACGGGGGTGCCCTCTGTCCCGCCCCCCTCCCCCAGCCACGGGGGTGCCCTCTGTCCGGTCCCGAACCCCGCCTCGTTGGTCCCGTCGGCCCTCCCCACCGCCGGGGTCACCGTGGAGGCGCGCTGAAGCTGGGTCCCTGACGGGCCTGGAGGGGACGGACGGCAGCTCCGGTGACGCCGGGCCCCTCCCGACCGCGGCGGCTGCCGGGGAAGACCCAGCTCCGGCAGCCTGCGCGCCGGAACCGCCCGCGCCGGAGCCACCTCCTCGCATGCGCACCGCCGGCGCGCAGACTCCAGCGCCCGGGGCTCCGGACGTCGCGCCGCACGTCGGCGGACACGCGCACGCTCACGTCGGCGCGCACGCACTGTCCGGCGCGGGTCCACGCCGTGAAGCGCCGCGGTGCGGGACTCTTCCGTGGTCGGAGGTGCGGGCGGACGGAGCGGGGGTGAGGGGTCCGGGGAGGGAGGGGCCGGAGAGCTGGGGGGTCGGGGGGCCCCCCCCCTCGGGTCCCCGCGCCCGGGCCGTGGCCCGCCGGGCGTCCCCTTTGCCCAGGGCCCCTCGGGGGGTCTCGCGGCGCCCCTGGGCCCCTCCCCGCGGCGGGAGGAGGGCCGCGGGCGGGGGCGACGCGCAGCCCCCCTGCGGGCGGGGCGGTGGGGCGGGGAGGAGCCGGAGCGTGGGATTCCTGCCCCGCAGGTACCCGAGCGGCCCTGAGGATGTCGTACATGCTCCCGCACTTGCACAACGGCTGGCAGGTGGACCAGGCCATCCTTTCGGAGGAAGACCGGGTGGTGGTCATCCGGTTCGGACACGACTGGGACCCCACTTGCATGAAGATGGACGAGGTCCTGTACAGTATCGCCGAAAAGGTAACGCGCGCCCCCGCCGTCCGGGATCGGCTTCTGCTGTGGCCGATGCTGCTTTTGCTCTGCAAGCCGGCGGTAGACGTGAGAAGCGCGGCTGGAATCCGCCCGGTGCCCTTCCTCTCGCCGTCACGCCTGAGGTGTAGCCCGTTCACCAAGGCGGCGTGGACGCCGTGGCCCTGACGCTGTCGAGTAGGCCCTGTGATTTCTCTGGGAGAAGTTTCCAAAGACTTCCAGATTTTAAAAATGATTCATGATTCCTTCCCTATGGTGGCCCGAACAAACGCCCACAGGCCTTGGCAAGAGCATAGAGTTTACTTAACTAGTTCAGTTTGAAGGGTTATCCCCTTTTGGGACCTTGTTTATTGTATTTGCAAAGCAGAACGTTCGTGTTAATCTGGTTCCTTTCCTTCTATTTTTCCCCTGTGCCCCACCACGCTCTTTGTAAGTCGCTTGATTTGTACCTTAGAGTGATCCCGTTGCACAAGGTGTTAGAAAATAGAATTGTGCTTCCTGGAACTAGTTTTCCTGATGCGCAGGATTAGTACACTGCTTGTCAGTCTTGTCTGCTGGTGCAGAAGTGCAGACACTATTGTATAACTGGGGGCTGGGGGCTTTTCTAAATTTCTTCATGGAGATTTTTTTTTTTTAATTTATGTTTATTTTTGACACACACACACACACACACACACACACACGGCACGAGCAGGGAGGGGCAGAGAGAGAAGGAGACACAGAACCTGAAGCAGCTCCAGCCTCCAGGCTGTCAGCACAGAGCCCCACGCAGAGCTCCCGCCCGTGAGATCCTGACCTGAGCCCAAGTCAGACTCTTAACTGACTGAGCTAACCAGGTGCCTCCTTCATGGTGATTTTAAGATAACTTTAATTTGTAGCAATAAAGCAAAAAACAAATATGTTAGGGTGGTAATAAAATCTTTAATGTATTAATATTCTGTAAGTAATTTGAGAGGTTATTTTATTATTTTGTTTTTTTGTAGTTTATTGTCAGGTTGGTTTCCATTTAACACCCAGTGCTCATCCCCACAAGTGCCCTCCTCCGTGCCCATCTCCTCCCCTCCCCCCCCCGACACCCATCAGTCCTCAGTTTGTTCTCAGCATTCAAGAGTCCTGAGAGGTTATTTTAACAAAGAGTGAAAGTAATAGAAACGTTGAAGCCATCTTTCTTTTTTTTTTTTTAACATTTATTCATTTTCTTTCTTTTTTTTAACATTTCATCTTTCTCAGTGATAAGGGGTTAAAACAACACCTTTTAGTAGGTAACAATAGATGTAAGGATATATTTTGTATTTAGGAAAGGAAAAACTATCTGACCTTCAGAACGGCTGGCTGGCTCAGTAGAGCATGTGACTCTTGATCTTGGGGTCATGAGTTCAAGCTCAACATGGGGTATAGTTTTACTTAAAAAAAAAAAAAAAAAAAACTATCTGGGAGCACCTGGGTGGTTCAGTCAGTTGAGTGGCTGACTTTGGCTCAGGTCATGATCTCACAGTTCGTGGGTTCAAGCCCCGCATCGGGCTCTGTGCTGACAGCTCAGAGCCTGGAGCTGCTTCAGATTCTGTGTCTCCCTCACTCTCCTTCCCCTGCTCATACTCTGTCTATCTCTGTCTCTCTTTCTCAAAAATAAATAAATAAACGTTTAAAAAGCCCAAACTATCCGACCTTCTTCCTTTGCTGATTTTCACTGTCTCCTCTTTGGTACGAGGCAAAGTGAGACGGGGCAACGGTGCTGGGAGCGCTGGGACCGTTCCGTCAGTCAGTCATCGTGAGTGCCAGTTGGGATACTTACCAGAGTGCATCTCAGAGATTCGGATTCTTCTGGACTGGGGTGCGGTCCAGAAGCAGGCCCAGCTCCCCTGGGAATTCTAGTGCGCCTTTCAAAAACGCAGCAGAGGTCAGGGTCCGAATAGGGGTGCTGTGATTAGCAGCCATTCCGCTCCTTTCCTCGAGGAGCTTGAGGAGGTGCCTGGGGGCTCAGGAGAGCAGCAGGTTTCTGTCTCTGGGGCCTCCTACTCGGGGTCAGAAGTCATAAATGAGGTGGTGCCAGGAGTCATGTCTGTCTTCGGCCGTGGCAGTCAGGACCAGGAGCTACCGCGTGGGGGGAAGAGATGCCAGAGAGCACTTTTCTGAGGAACAGATCATTGCCCTGTTGACCCTGAAGTAACTAGGGGTGTGTGCCCTGGATTCTGCGCCGCAGCCGTGGCCTGAGCACCAGGCGCTGTCCGGCACCTGCTGCCTCCGTGCGAGGGGACGGTACTCAGGCAGGTGAGGCTCATTCGGCTCCTCGTATCTGAGCGAAACCCAGCAAAATGCTTTTAGCTCGAAGACAGGTTTTGTGTTCACGTAGAGTTTTAGGGACTTCTACAGGAGCTGTGCTTTACTCACCCCTTTCTGTCCGTTATGTGTCAGGTACAGATCGCATCACCGTGTCCTGGTGGGTGTACTCTTAGGTACTGAACCTATTGATAAGAATGGCTTAATTGGGCCCCGCTTTGAGTTCTTTGTTTTTTAAGGCATTTTTTTCTTTTGTCCAAAAATTTGGATTTCTGTTTTAACAAACTTTTAAAATAATGTTATAGTGGAGTTACTAAAAAGTGCAAACTTGAAATGCATCACAAGATTATTGTTTTATTTTTTTCTTGGTATAAAAGCAAAATAAGAGTTTATAATTCTGTAAGCCCTTTTTGGGGAATCTCAACAGGATTATGTGAAATTTAAAATGTTAGCATACAGAACAACTTAACTCTCTATTTAAAAATCTCCCTCTGCAGAAATAGTGGGGCATGCCCTCATCTTGTTACGAGCCCTGCTTGGATACCGGCTGTTTTAAAGTGAGTAAAAGTTCCTCTGTTTAGGCTGGACTTGATCAGATTGTTTCTTTGGAATGTGGTGTGTTGACTTGATGCTTTGACCCTGCCAACCTCCTGACCCCACCTGGTGCTGCAGGAGTTTGGAGCTGCTCTAAAAACGTAAGAGATGTGCTTAAGGACTTTGCAGATGGGTGATAGAGTGATAATAAACAAAGTTTCCTGTTTATCAGCTGATTTTGTACACAGCTTCAAAGAGAGAAGGTTTCGTGTATCTCTGAGCTGTCTTACCATTTTGTAGGAAGTTTGTCACAGCTCACTGTTACCAAAATCCCATAATGGGACATTTAATTTTTGTGTGGTAAAAAGCCCAAACAAGTAGAGTTTAAAATATGCAAAACTTCAATGATCGTACATTCTCGTTAAATTGTTTATAAGACAAATATATGTATGGAACATTTTAGAAATGACTTTAGGGAGGAGCATCTTTTTTTTTTTAATGTTTATTTTTGACAGAGCATGAGTGGGGGAGGCCAGAAAGAGGGAGACACAGAATCTGAAGCAGGCTTCAGGCTCTGAGCTGTCAGCACAGAGCCCAATGCGGGACTCGAACCCATGAGCCGTGAGCCATGAGATCATGACCTGAGCCGAAGTCAGACACTGAAACGACTAAGCCACCCAGGCGCCCCAGCCTAGGGGGACCATTCTTAAGCATCACGTAAAGTGAGTTGAACTCTACTGGAAGTTGGTGTTCAGTCAAGTGAGGAATCTCATAAGAGCCAACAAAATGTATATGTTTGCTATGGATTTGTGTTTCTGGATATAAGAACCTTGGAGCTGGCCGCAAGCTACGAGGGGCAGTAAGGGTAGGGACTGACCTAGTTTCTGCTACTTACTACCTGTATGGCCTTAAATAAATGGTCTCTGTGCCTCATTGTAGTCATCTGTAGGAAAGGGATAGTAGTGCCTACCCCAGAGGGCAGTCATGAGGTCAGAATTAATATAAAAAGACTTCTAGAACACATCTTGTCACATAGTAAGCAGTATATTCAGTAATTCTTAGCCACTGTTCTTGGTGTCATTACCATTCACATCACAGAGTTTTTAAGAGTTACTGTTGAACTAATCAGGCAGATCTTAGTTTGGGAAAATGAAGTTACCATGCAGTTTTTTGATGGCTTTGACATGAATTAACCTAAAAATTAACTGTTCTAAATAAAATACATAGTGCCAGTTGACAGTCCAGAAGATTTTTTCCAGCATTTTAGGTGGGTTCTTAGCTGGAGGAGGAGAGGAGCTGCGAACAGGAGGGTGGAATGGTGGTTGGCGTCATGTGCCCGCCTTCTGTCTTACTGATTTGCATGCGTTACTTTTCGGAGGCAGTTTGTGTGGCTTGTGGAAGGGCTACTGAACAGCTTAATCAGTGACTTGCTGGAGGGGTGCTTGTAAAATGTGTAGGCAACAGGATCAGAAGGCATTGTTACTATTAGAGATGACCAAAAGAATATATACATTAAGAAACAACTTGATAATAGAAATGAAATTTGTACATAGAGTTCTTGATTTTTTAAAAATATTGTCTAATAGCTGATTGAAATTACTGTAAACATAGCAGGCAAATTATTATTTTAGATATACTAGACTTACGCAAATAAGTTTAAAGTACCATTATAAAAAATGACTTCTAAAAAATAAATAAATAATCCCTGTGGGTAGAGGGGCAGAGAACCTAAAAAAGAGGAAATTCTAATGGTTAAGTAAACTTCAGAGATGCACACGTTGAGATAGTGTGCTGTCGTTTCTTCGGTATATCAGAGATAAAAAGGTGTTCTCTGTGGTGTGGTGAAAGTTGTATTAAAGTACATGTAAAGCTCATATCCTTTAGGAAGGCAGTTTGGCATTGCACACAAAGCCTTGAGAATAGTCATACCTTATGCTCAGTAACCTGCCTCTTCAATAGACAAAGTTTTATGCCCCACAAGACTTTTGCTTTAATTTCTACCATAACCGAAAACAACAGCAACATCTAATGACAGGAGAACATGGTGATGACTGTGACCTCTGGGTTTTGAGCACGTAGACCAGTCATGCTGCCACGTAGGAAACAGACCTGTCCTGTGGTCCCCATGACCACTCCCTGACGTAGGCACTGGCAGGTCATTTGTCAAGGTTCAGAAATGGACAGTTGGGATTTTAACTGGGAACATCCTCTTCACTATTTGGAATGTTATTTGGCTATTAAAAATGATCTTTTTTTTTCTTAATGTTTTTATTTGAGAGACAGAGTATGAGTGGGGGAGGGGCAAAGAGAGACAGAGACACTGAATCCAAAGTAGGCGTCAGACTTTCTCTGAGCTGTCAGCACAGAGCCCGACGCGGGGCTCGAACTCACGAACTGTGAGATCATGACCTGAGCTCAAGTCGGGTGCTTAACCGACTGAGCTTCTGAGAGGTTTTTAAATAACGTGGGTATTTGTTAATGATGCCAGCTAGAGGAAGCAGAGAGTCTGTGATTTCCTCACAAGCGAACATGTGGGTCTGGGGAAAGGGAAACACTTTTCACTTTGACACTCGTACTGTTGATTTTATTTGACTGTTCTATATTTTCAAGTTTTTGTTTTTTTCTTTCAGGTGGTCTGTATACCCCACATGGGGCTTGAACCCATACTCTCAAGATTGAGAGTTGCATGCTGTGCCGACTGAGCCAGCCAGGTGCTCCAGCCGTGTTTTTTAAACAAGTTATATACCGAAGGGCGCCTGGCTGGCTCGGTCATCACAGCATGCAACTGTTGATCTCAGAGTTATGAGTTCAAGACCCACATTTGGGGTAGAGTTTGCTTAAAAATACTGGGCTGGACACACAGTAGTGGTTTTTTCATTCCATCTGTATACTTTAAAAATGAACGTTTTTTTATTTATGTGTATTTTATTTTTGAGAGAGTGTGAGCGAGGGAGGAGCAGAGCGAGAGGGAGCCAGAGGAGCTGAAGCAGGCTCAGTGCGGAGAGCCCAGCGCCCAGCACGGGCTCCAGCCCATGAGCGGCAGGGCCGTGACCTGAGCCGGAGTTGGACACTTAACCCAGCGAACCACCCAGGCGCCCCAAAATGAGTATTTTTCAAGTGGAGAAAATAGACTTCTAGCTTCATTTCACTTTTATAAAAAATACATAGGGTTTTAGTTAACTACAGATTCATGAGTGGGTGTGAAACGTTCAGGCAACATCGTTCAGGCTGTGTGGAAGGCATCGCGACAGAATTCGTGGAACCCACAGTAGGAGAAGCTTTGATAAGTGGAAGGGCTGGGCAGGTTGCACAGATTGCGAAGGAGGCCGCTTGGTGCTTTGTGTGGTCCTCACCTGGCACCCAGATGGGATGTGCCAGCCCTTCCTCTGCAAGTATTTCAGCTGCCGGAGCTTGAAAACCTCCTGTCAGGAAGAAGTACCAGACATCTGAGGGCAGTTGTGTTTGAACTCAGGGTTACGTAATCTTACACTGTCCGAAAACACATTTTAAGTGACATTAACGTGTTTCTCACATTTCAGAATACAAGCTTACGGTTAAAGTTTACTCAATAAGCATTTACTAGTCCTGTGTATGAGTCAGGTACTGTTTGGCTCTGAGGACACATCAGTAAAGAGAACAGATGTGGTTCCTAGCCTTGGAGGCCTCAAATTTGTCTGGAGAACCATAATGTAGTTTATATAGACGAGAAGAAAAGAATTAAGTACTGTGGTGTCACTTCGTTCTTTTACGTCTGAATGAGCTACAGTTTTCTTCCTCATCATTGGAGGCAAAGGGAAAATAGGGCCTGCTCTTAAAGTCTCACTATAAAAACCAACATTTATAGTGAAAAGTATATCACTGAGTTAGGATAATTGAATGTCTTCTTGTATAAAATAGATGTGATGTATTTTGATCACTTTTAAGAGGATGTGGTTTCTTGTGTCCATTTCTGCTTTAACTTGGGAGATGTGGAGGTTCTAGGGACTGGAGCCAGTTGGCTAAATGATTCACACTGAATCTGAAAGGCGTCTTGGGCTTTCATTGGATTGGCAGTTTATGCTTTAGGAGACAAGTATGCGTGTGTGTGTTTGGTTTTACTATAACGTTGACATCTATCGTTTTAAGTTGTGGTATCTCTGTTGTGTTATGCAGAAAGGAATAAAGGAATAATGATAACATGAAATGTAGGGGTAGGCAGCACCTTACGGACACTCAGGGTCACTTTTGCCGGGAAGCTCTACAGAGGCATGTGCTCTACAGGCACATGCTTACCCATCCCTGCTGTCTGAGGGCCGTGGTGATGTGAAAAGAATACTTTCCACAGAGGCCATCTGGACACACAGTGCGTGGTGCGCCTGACTTCACAGCTGCCTTCTCTTCTGTCACCAGGAAAGAGGGAATCGGGGGGTGACGGGAGAGTCCCCAGCTCCACGCCTAGGTCCCTTAGTAACTTCCCTCCTTTCACAGCTAGGCTCTTTGAGAGACCTGCCTTCTGTTGGTCAGACTTCAGCGCTGCGCCATCTTGCTCTGTTTGTTTATTTTGAGAGAGAGAGAGAGAGAGAGAGAGAATCCTAAGGAGGCTCCACATTATCACCCTGAACACATGAACCATGAGATCATGACCTGAGCTGAAGTCAAGAGTCAGATGCTCTACCAACTGAGCCACCGAGACACCCCTATAAGGGCCGTTAAGTTATATCCTTTGTTGTAGAGATTTTATTTTGGAAATTTTTTCTTTGGAAATAATGAAATGTGTACTCAGATTTAAGGATAAGAATGTTCACAGGTGAATAATTAGTATTAATGAAAAATATGAATTATTTTCAGGAAAAATCAGAAAATAATAGAAGAAGGTAAACTAATGACATAGTTGTTTGATGAAGTATTATGTAGCCCTGAAAATTGTCCTTTGGGAAAGTATATAATTTGTATAAGAGAATGCTCATAGTTAAAGCAGGATATAAAATACATATGGTGTGATCACATTTTATCAAAACAGTATAAACAGATTTATATGTGTGTGTATATACTAGAAAAAATGGGAAAGGGTTCAATAAAAATATATTTGTAGGGCACCTGGGTGACTCAGTCCATTGAGCATCCAACTTCGGCTCAAGTCATGATCTCACGGTTCGTGGGTTCACACCCCATGATGGGTTCCGTGCTGACAGCTCAGAGCCTGGAGCCTGCCTCAGATTTCTGTCTCCCTGTTTCTCTGCTCCTCCCCGACTTGTTCTCTCTCTCTCTCTCTTTCTCTCTCTCTCTCAATAATAAACATTAAAAAATAAAAATAAAAATACATTTGTAGCAATTCTGGTGTTCTATCTTATTTACAGTTTTCAGAGTTTTCTAAATCTGCTATGGTGAACTTGCAATTAGAGAAAAAATGAAAGAATATTGGTTAGATACAGCATTATTTGGACTACCAGTCTTAGTACCGGCAAGCGTGCACACCTGAATCAACGAGGGATGTGTGTGGCGGATTCTCGCAGCGTGTTTTAAAGCACTTGTTTACTGCGTGCAATTAAGTATTCGTAGAAGTACAAATCTGGGAAAGTTCAGATAGGTTATTACTGTATCAGCGTGAATAGCCCACTGTGGAGATTTTCTGTGGGCTCTCAGAACTTGCTATTCTGAAAATGGCAAAACGAGGTGTAAACAGCCAGTTGTCAGGGTCCTGAATGTGTTGCATTGTCTCCCTGTGTATTAGCTTTGCTGGGAAAGAATATTGGGGAGCTGGTTTGAAAACTGTCCTCTTCTACACAAATTCTTGTTTCTGTTTTTAATATGCTTTTGTAGAATAAAAACATGGTGTGTTGTTGTACAAGGTTGTTTCAATCTCTTCTAGGTGAAAAATTTTGCAGTTATCTATCTTGTGGATATCACAGAAGTGCCTGACTTCAACAAGATGTATGAGTTATATGATCCGTGCACCGTCATGTTTTTCTTCAGGTATGCTCTCTTTAAACCTGTCATTTCAGGTGAATATTGTTGGTTTGGAAGTCTGATGTAATCAGGAGATCTTCATATTTGACGGTGTTTATGTAATAAAGTCAAGTAACATCGTGAATTTTTTATTTTTTATTTTTTAAAAATTTTTAAATGTTTTATTTATTTTTGAGAGAGAGAGAGAGAGTGTGTGAGCAGGGGAGGGTCAGAGAGAGAGGGAGACACAGAATCTGAAGCAGGCGCCAGGCTCTGAGCTGTCAGCACAGAGCCTGACGCAGGGCTCGAACCCACGAACCGTGAGATCATGACCTGAGCCGAAGTCATATCCCCAACCGACTGAGCCACCTAGGCGCCCCATCATGAATTTTTTAAAAAAAGTTCTGTTGTGGAGATTCAATTTAGAAAGAAGTCACCATTTGATGTTTTGCCAAAATCTCTTACTGTTTGTTGTTAATACAAAAGTTGGTAAATGGCAGTATTAAGCATTAGACCATACTCCGAAAGTGGAGCTCCCTACCTGGTTAGGGACGTTTGGGTGGATTGTATAGGGCGTGTATTAGCTTTATACTCGGTGTAACAAACAAGCACAAATCCAGTAGCTACACCACCACCAGTTACAAGCTCAGTGCTCTCAGTGAGGGTGCGGGCAGGCTCAGCGGGGCCCCGCTCCGGTCTCAGCAAGTCAGAATCACCAGCTGGGCCTTACCTGGACTGTGAGCCTGGGAAGAAGCCACTTGGTTGTTGGCTGAATCCAATTCCTTGGTCCTGGGTCCGAGGTCTCTGGCCTCTTGCTGGCTGTATGCCGGGGCCCCTCCTTGCTCCTGGAGGCCCTTCCGCCTCGGAAGCCTGGACAGTCTGCAATTTCCTGTTCTGCTTTTAAAGGGCTGTGACTGGAATAGATTCATCCAGATAATCCAGGATTAGCTCCTTATTTTAATGTCAGTTGATGAGTAACTTCCAGGACATCTGTGTGTAATGTCATTGGTCACAGCCTTGGTGGTCCTCATATCACAGTCCCAGGCTTGTGGCAGGAAATTCACAGGGTTTCATGTAGGACTTTGCCTACCGCAGTCTGCCCTCTGGCTCCGAAGACTCCCATCCTTCCCATATGCAGAATCAGGTGTGGACAGGGCTTCTTAGGCTCCTGGACACCGCCTGCTGTGGCCCCAGCCCTCCCAGCACAGTGTGGGACAGCGTAGGAAACAGGTCTGGTTTCCCAAGGGGACGTGAGGAGGAAGGGGGCCGACACCCCAGCCCTGGGCGGGTGCTTCCCGGACCTCCCTCCCCTTCTCATGAAAGGCATTTGCAACTGGGCCATTTCCCAGCCTCTTTCAGCCAGCAGCACGTCGGGTTCTGTCCTCTGTCGTCTCCTGTCACCTCCTGTCACTGCACCCTCTGTCCCTTGCAGCCCCTGGCCTGGGTGTCGGGAAGATCCATGAGGCACACCTCCCTCTCTTGTGACAGTGTATCTGGGCTTCAGCAGAAGGTCGTGTGGCTGGCTTTTCTCTGCACTTGCTACTCTGCAGCCATTTCTGGATTTCAGCATCTTCTGCCGTCTTTCTTTGTTCACCGCTCTTATACCAGGTTGTCTCTCTCCTTTCACTGTAAGCAGGGAGAAACCAGGCAGCACCTTCAAGACTTTGCTTGGTATTTCTTCAGTTGAATATCCAAGTGCATCAGTCATGACGTGCTCTCCCCGCAGAACCGCAGGGTGCTGTCACGATGTCCTGCTGGGTAACGGGTCCCTTTCCTCCATCGCCGACAGCGCGAGTTCCTCCCTTCCTGCGGAGCCGGCACCAGCCGTGCTCTCCAAGTCCGTTTCTCCTAACAGGCCCTTGGAGGCAGCCTGGGCCATTTCTGTCGTGCTCCTCGAAACTCCCCAAGCCCTTCTGGGGAGCGGTACCCCCGCTGTCTGCACATGCTGGTGTTTTAGGACGGAGGCTGCTCTCAGAGAAGACGACAGAACATCTCTTTCTGTGACCCAGAGTCCTCACCCTAGGTGTGGCGGGACTTCAGTTAATGTTTTCACCAAAAATGTATATTGAGTCCTGCCAGGTTTTGTGGTCTAGTGCAGGGACGTGGTTCCTGCCATCACAGAACTTCTTCAGTTGGGAACAGCTGAGTGAATTAGCAGAGGGAAACAGGTGCCAGAGGATGGGTATTTATAGACATACAAACACCGAGTCAGGGCGGCAAGGAGCAAGCAGCAGCTTGGGTAGGTTAGGGTGAGCTTGAGCCTTTCAGGGAGCCGGCACACGGGCCTGAGCTTTGTGCCGCGTTCCTCCGGGAGCCTGAGAGAGCATGGAGTGGCTCCTGGGTGATGGTGGGAGACTGGGGGGGAAGGAGTGGGAGGGAAGGGTCCAGACCCCCAGTTTCCCTCCCAGGGGGGTGGAGGGGCAGGGTCCAGACCCTCAGATTCCTGGGCCAGAGTGAGAACATGGAACGTTATCCTAGAAGTGAAATTTTGTGGCAGAAAAGGAACATCAGATTTGCCTTTTGGATGCTCACTCTGTTTAAAAGGTGGCCAAACCAGACTGCAGGATGGAGCACTTCGATCTTGTAGAAGTGAAAAGTTAAATTGATGAAAACTAATCAGTCTTCAGCAAACCTGGAAAAAATTAGTGCACCAGGGACAACCAGGGTTAATATCTTTTGTAAAGTGCACGTGTAAATTCATTTTTAAAAGTAGCCTCTTAAAAAATAAATTTGTGAAGGATTGTCTACATCTCCGATTATAGAAATGCAAAATACAAATTTCACAATTAGTAGGGCTTTTAATAAAATGTACACTAAATGCTCACAAGAGCATCATGAAAAACTCATCCATTGTGTTTCCTGAGTAAATTAGTACAACCGTCTGGGTCCAAGTGACCAAAACTGTGTCCTTTGAGCTTTTGACTACCCTGTGGGATATTTGTCCTAAGGAAACGGAGAAGCCAAGAGAGAGCTGGTCTCCTGTGCAAGCCGTGTGCTTCCACACGAGCAGTTGGGTTTTCATCTTCTCCTAAATCACAGTAGATCCTCTTGACTGTGTGTTCTTGTCTTCAGTGATGTTTAACAAGAGTTTGTAAAGGTGTAAAACAGAAGGCATCTTCTTCGTGGAACTCTTTTTTAGGAGGATTTTTGTGAGCATTGACCGTCCATCCCCTGTTTCCTCTTTGCAGGAATAAGCACATCATGATTGACCTGGGTACTGGCAACAACAACAAGATCAACTGGGCCATGGAAGACAAACAGGAAATGATAGACATAATCGAGACCGTGTACCGAGGTGCCCGCAAAGGCCGTGGTCTGGTCGTGTCTCCAAAGGACTACTCTACAAAGTACAGATACTGAGCTCTCGGCCCGGTGTCTCTGCACGTAAATGTTGCAGAGTCCTTTCCATGTGGGAATATCTTAAACTGTTTAAAGCCTTAGAGCGTTTGGAAGGCTGGACGAGTAGAAGCAGCCCAGGGGGCTGGAGGTTCTCTACAGTAAGGGTTGCATGGCCTCAACTTTCTGCCTGGCCACTGTATTTTTCTATTAGCAAATATCTAGCTGAGATAAATAAAATGTGCAGTGACAGAAAGCCATAATTGCTTATTTCTTAGGAAACTTGACATACAGATTCCGGATCTGGTAGTCAGGAACTAATTGTTAACTTTATGGTTGGAGTGGAATTCAGGCGTGTGTGCTGTGGGGCCGTTGTGTTTTATACACCTGGCCGCGGGAATCTCTGAGGGTTGCCGTAACAGTACCGCGGACAGGGTGACAGCGGAAGTGAAGTGAGTGGGCTCACGAATCTGCCGGCTAGGACTCCAGATCCAGGTGTGCTCAGGGCTGGTGCCTTTGGGGCCGTCATGGAGAATCTGTCCCTGTGCCTCTCCTAGATTCTGCTGGTTTCTGGCAATCTTTGGCCTGATGCTTCACCCAGATCTTCACACGGCCTTCTTCCTGCGTGCGGGTCTCTGTCCAGATTTCCCTGTCTTACAGGGACACCGGTCATTGGATGAGGGCCACCCTTCACAAGTATGACCTCATCTTAACTAATTACATCTGTGATGACCCCATCTCCAAATGAGGGCACATGGGATTAGAACTCCTGACATAGCAATTTACACAGTTCAACCCACAACAGAATCCAAACGCTTGAGTTCAGAAAGAATATACACTTGGGGGAAAAAGTTATCTTTTAGTCTTCTAGTTATAAAAACAGTAAAACAAAATAATGATTCTTAATTTTCCTTTTAAATATAAAGAGTAAGAAGTTCTTATTCCTCCAAAGATTGTATCTAACACACTTAAGCCGGCCCTGTAGGAACTGTGACTCTTCAGTACCTACAGCTGGTTTCCTTATTCCAGTGTTGAGTTTTTCTTACCCGAGCAGCGTGTTGGTGGGTGAGTGGTTAGGATCGCCCCAGGAACATCCTGTGTGGAGCGTGGGGTCACCCCCCAAAGCCCTGTCTGGCGTCCCAGCCAGGCTCTGCCACGAACCGTGGCACGTGGCCTCCTGGAGCTCTGTTGTCTCTGGAGTGCAGGGTGTGTGTGTGTGTGTCTGTGTGTGTCTGTGTGTCTGTGTGTCTGCTGTCCCATGTCTTAGAATAGTGTCCGAACGGTGCCAGGTGGGCCCTCACTGGTGTGAAAGCACTCACTGCTATGGCCAGACTGACTGGTTGAAACACAAGTACAAGCCACAAATACAAACGACGTGCCTTAAGTAGATTTAAAACACAAATGCAAATTCTCAGCTTCGTTACTCCAGCCTAAACTTTCCCATTTACAAAATAGGGTGTATAATCCCATATCAAATGAGGGGCTAGTGGGAACATCCACACGACCCCAAGTACCTGACATAATAGACAGTATTCTACTTCTGGTGTTTCTCCAAGATAGGAAATCCTAGGAAAAGCTCACTGTCACTACTCACCAAGGAAATGCAAATCAAAACCAGGAAATGCCCCTTCGCACCCACTAAGATGCATGTGACTAGATTCAGAGGGTCAGATTACAGGTGTGGTCACGGGGGAGACATTGGAGCCCTCATAGACTGCTGGTGGAGAGGTGGAGCGGTGCAGCTACTTTGGAAAACAATTTGGCAGTTCCTCAAAAATAAAACGGAATTACCATTTGACCCCAGCAATGTCAGTCTTAACCTATCTACCCAAGAGAACTGAACAGGACCTTGGACAGAACATTGGTGGCAGCATTATTCATGATAGCCAAAATGGGGAAACAACTCGCAGGTCCATCAACTGAAGAAAGGATAAACGAAATACGGTACATCTATACGACGGAATATTAGTTGGACATAAGAAATGAACTACCGATGTGGGCTACGACATGGTGAACCTTGAAAACGTCAGGGTGAGTGAAAGAGGCTAGACAGTACATGTATGATTCTATTTATATGAAATATCCAGAATGAGCAAACCCACAGGGGTAGAAAGTATACTAGTGGTTGATTAAGACTACGAGGAGGGGTGGGGCCCCTGGGGGGCTCAGTCAGTTGAGCATCTGACCTCGACTCAGGTCATGATTGCACAGTCTGTGAGCTCGAGCACTGCATTGGGCTCTGTGCTGACAGCTCAGAGCCTGGAGCCTGCTTTGGATTCTTTGTCTCCCTCTCTGTCTCTGCCACCTCCCCTGCTCATGCTCTGTCTCTCTCTCAAAAATAAATAAAACATTTAAAAAAAAAAAAAAGGCTAGGAGGAGGGGAAGGAGGGAGGTGATAGCTAGTGGGAGTGGGTTTCTTCCTGAGACAATGAAAATGTTCTAAAATTATGGTTGTACGCATCTGTGAATGTACCAGAGCCATTGGATTGTTTGTGTTCACTGGATGAATTGCATAGCATGTGAGCTACATCTCAATAAAAGCTTTATTAGCTATTAACAAAAAAATAAGCAAAAAAATTTACACTCCACATTTGTAAACCTACTCTGTGCTTACAGTAAATCTGTGGGATATATAAGTTGTAATAAGTTCACTTACAGTTGATTTTAATGACTTTTTCACTGGTACTCTGTAACTGCAGTATAGTTGAATTTCTAATAGTTTGGTCTCTTCATTCCAAGTTTATATCTTAGTATTATGTACCTACTGTTTACCTTGCCCAGAACTAAGTGTTTTGCAAACCATTTTCTCAAATTCTTCTAAACACCTGCCAGGTGGATAGTTTTTATAGAGGGAAACTAAAGCTTAGGTTGCTCCAAGTTCAAACCTAAATCTGGCATGGCTACCAAACCTTGCCTCACTGCTGCCAGGTTGCTTTATTCAAGTTGAAATTAGCTAGTGTAGAAAGTATACCAATACCCCTGGTTCTCTGAATCTGAATGATTTCTGTTTCCCATCCTCCCCAGGATAGTTTCTGTGCAAAGTCCAGGAATTAGTCGTGGCAGCTAACAAAGAGGCAACAAGCCTGAAGGTACAAAATATATTCAGGGACCCAGTAAGTAATCAAGTACCCCAGGGAAACGGACACAGAGGAGATATGCAAGAGTGTATATTGCAGTATTATTTGGAAACAGTTTTAGTCCAGTGAAAAACATAATTCAAAAGGCTATTACACAGCAGTTAGTGACTGAAGTAGAGCTACACACATCAACATAGATGAATTTGAAAGTACCGACTGGAGAAGCTGGGTGTGAGGTACTATGGTATGATGTCATTTTACATACAGTTCTCAGACGTCCAGAACAGAGTACTGGAACATTAAAACAACCTGCAACCTTGTGTGTTTGTGTTATGTGTTGGTCCCTAGGGTAGACTGCCTTTTTCTAACTTCTGAGCCCGTGCAGAGAAGGGATGAGTTTGTCAGGGCATTGACAAAAATCAAAGCTACCACTATTCTAAAAACCACATCACTGATGTTTCTAAACACGGCACCAAAAGTTTTGTTTCTTAGGTTGCTCAGTTAAAATATAGGATGTGTTCATGGCCTCACCACGTTTCTTTCTTTTTTTTTAATGTATGTTTATTTTTGAGACAGAGACAGAGCACAAGTACGGGAGGGGCAGAGGGAAAGGCAGACACAGAATCAGAAGCAGCTCCAGGCTCTGAGCTGTCAGCATAGAGCCTGATGCAGGGCTTGAACTCACAAACCGTGAGATCATGACCTGAGCTGAAGTCAGATGCTTCATCCACTGAGCCACCCAGGTGTCCCGGCCTCACCAGGTTTCTTATCTGAAAGTTGAGGTGCTAACTGGGAAAGCTGTGATGTCTTGAAAATCAGAATGGGGAACTTTGGGAGGACTCACTTTATGTGGGTGCCATTTTGAATAGTTTTTCCTATATCATTTTTATTAATGGCTTTTAAAATGAATCTGGTTATAGTATCCTTTTACGGCAGTTTTACAATTATCATCAAAAGCTATACAAAGAACACCAACAGTGTCGTAATGAGGTTTGTACTGCCTTGATGCTATATTGGAGCGACACCCCACTAGTTTTCCCCAGCCATTGCAATGGCCCACATCCTCCTTCTGGCCTTTGGTTTTCTTGTTCAGTCAAGTGGTCAAGCTCTCACACATCTCCATGGACAAAAAGCATCATATAAAAGATTACAAAGTATTTTGAAACTCTTGAAATTCATTCATTAACTTAATTAAAAAAAAAAAAAATCTTTGAGCAGCTCCTGGGTCCCAGGGCTGAGCAAAATCAATCTGGTTTCTTGCTGCCTTGTGAAGATAACCAAATGATCACGTAGAAGTGAACTTACAACTGTGATAGTCAATAGGTAGAGTGCTAGGACATTATGTAAAAAGTAGATCTGACCCAGATGCGGATTCAGGGAAAGAATCTCTCAGGAAAGTATTTTCAAGCTGAGATCAGGTATTTAAAAAGCTAACTAAGAGGGTGTAGGGGGATTGCATTCCAGAAGAGAACCTGTGGGGAGCAGAGGCCCATGGTGGGAGGAGGCTGGGCTTGCCTGGGAACTGGGCCATTGCTGGGGTTGGGTGAAGTGGCCACAGGCTGGGGATTCAGCTCTGGGAGGCTTTGCCTTGGGAACCAGGGGTAGCGTGATGAGATTTTGGTTCTGAGAAGATCTTTCTGTCCCCTTGGAGGAGGTAAAAGGGGATTTGGGAAGAGAGTTAAAAGTCTGTGGTGATAGGGGCACCTGGGCAGCTCAGTCAGTTGAGCATCTCACTTCAGCTCAGGTCATGATCTCATGGTTCGTGAGTTGGAGCCCCACATCAGGGACTCTGCTGTCAGCACAGAGCCTGCTTCAGATCCTCTGTGTCCCTTTCTCTCTGCCCCTCCCGGGCTCTCTCTCAAAAATAAACACGAAAAAAATTTTGAGATGTAAAGCTTCTGCACGGCAAAGGAAACAATCAATAAAACTAATAGGCAACCGATGGAATGTGAAAAGATAGTCCCAAATGACATCGGATAAAGGGCTAGTATTCAAGATCTATAAGGAACTCAGCAAACTCCACACCCAAAAAACAAATAATCCAGTGATGAAATGGGCAGAAGACATGAACGGACACTTCTCCAAAGAGGACATCCAGATGGCCAACAGACACATGAAACAGTGCTCAGCATCCCTCCTCATCAGAGAAATACAAATCAGAACCACACTGAGATACCACCTCACACCGGTCAGAGTGGCTGAAATGAGCAAATCAGAGAACTCTAGATGCTGGCGAGGATGTGGAGAAACGAGCACCCTCCTCCACTGTTGGTGGGAATGTAAACTGGTGCAACTCCTCAGGAAAACAGTATGGAGGTTCCTCAAAACATTAACGATAGGACTCCCCTATGACCCAGCAGTAGCACTGCTAGGAATTTACCCAAGGGACACAGGAGTGCTGAGGCACAGGGACACATGGGCCCCAGTGTTCATAGCAGCACTCTCAACAATAGCCAAAACATGGAAAGAGCCTAAGTGTCCATCAACGGACGAATGGATCAAGAAGATGTGGTTTATCTATACCATGGAATACTACATGGCAATGAGAAAGAATGAAATCTGGCCTGTGTAGCAACATGGATGGAACTCGAGGGTGTCAGGCACAGAAGGACCAAAACCATATGTTTTCACTTATAAGTGGAACAGGAGAAACTTAACAGAGGACCGTGGTGGAGGAGAAGAGGAAGAATAGTGGGGGAGAGGGAGGGAGGCAAACCATGAGAGACTCTTGAATGCTGAGAACAAACTGAGGGCTGATGGGGGTGGAGGGGGAGGGGAAGGGGGCTGATGAGTATGGAGGAGGGCACTTGTGGGGATGAGCACTGGGTGTTATATGGAAGCCAACTTGACAATAAATTATAAAAGAAAAAAATAAAATAAAATAAAAAATTATTTAGGGGCACCTGGGTGGCTCAGTCGGTTAAGTGCCCTAGTTTGGCTCAGGTCATGATCTCATGGTTTGTGAGTTCAAGCCCTGAATCCACCTCTGCACTGACAGCTGAGAGCCTGCTTGGGATTCTCTCTTCCTCCCTCTCTGCCCCTCCCCCACTTGTGCTTTCTCTCTCCCTCTCAAAAATAAATAAACTTTTTTAAAAAAGGAAATTAAATGTGAGAATTAAAACTTCAGACAATTGCATCCAGAACTAGTGCCTTACAAATGTAGCCCTTTGGGGGCGCCTGGGTGGCTTAGTCGGTTAAGCGTCCGACTTTCGCTTAGGTCATGATCTCGCGGTTCGTGGGTTCGGGCCCCGCGTCGGGCTCTGTGCTGACTGCCAGCTCAGAGCCTGGAGCCTGTTTCAGTCTGTGACTCCCTCTCTCTCTGACCCTCCACCTCTCACGCTGTCTCTCTCTCTCCTAGAAATAAATAAAAATATTAAAACAAAAAAACAAAAAAACAAATGTAGCCCTTTGTTACTAAGCTTGGTCATCTTATAAGTTCCAAACTTTTGTGTTAAATGAGTTTTAAATTGCAAGTATAAGAATATAGTATTTGATATTGAATTCACAACATTTCACTTAAGTATTTTATGAATAAACTGCTTGCTACTGAAGTTCCATATTAATCTAGTTTAGATTGGAATAAGCACATATAAGCACATGTAAACTCATTTGCTACTTTCCCCTTTTTCTTTATGGAAGCATTTTGATTTCTTTTAAATATATGTGTGTGCCAGAGAATATCAATCCTTTATAAAAATTAAGGAACATGTTGAAACAGGTATGATATTCTAAAATGTCAAATAATCTCTCTAAAGGTTTGAGTGAATATTCAAGACTTTAAATGTCAGACTATAAAAGAGGAAAGAGGATCTGCTCGGAACTTTCTTTAGAAAGAAGTTAGTATTTTTTGGACAGTATTACTGTTTTTGTTTTATTTTTTAAGTAGGCTCCATGCCCAATGTAGGGCTTGAACTCATGACCCTGAGATCAAGAGTCACACGCTCTACCAAATGAGCCAGTCAGGTGCCCCTAATGTTTTTATTTTAGTTAATAACTAATAGAAACTTTCTTTTCTACCTACTTAATCTCTTAAAAATCCTGGATTTTGAATTGTGATCTATGTTATTAATGAGGACTCATATCTGTTTGGTTAACTTCAATTCAAATGTCTAGTTTCTACTAAAATTATAATAGCAGCTAAAATGCTTTCAGATTTTTCACATAATCCAATAGAACTATCATGATTTTAAGTCACCAAGAATACTGAATTTAAATAATGCCATTTTAAAACTTTGGATTAAAAAAAGAAAGACATGCACCACTGTTGGGAAGTATAAAATGATTCATTTTTACTTCATTTCTTAAATGCATTCGACTAATGTACGTGGTCTTTAGTCACACTTCTGACCTTCATGAAACATGCAGAGCATTCATGGTGACGGTGTTCCTTATAGTGTTATAATAGTGAGATGGTGGGAAATAGCGTCAATGTCCAAGGAACAGTTAAGGAAATGGTTAAATTATTACATCCATGTGATAGAATAGTAGTCAGCCATAAAAAATTTTTTTCAGATGGAAAAATGTTTATGGTATGAAAAGAGAACAGATTATAAACAACATAATCAACCATATATAAAATTGTAATGTTTACAGTGGATAATTCTAAACTGTAGAATGATGAGTGATTTTGGCTTTTGTATGAATACAATTTAGCTCATATGCAGGAATCATGTTATTTTTACAATGAGAGCCTATTACCGACCTCCTTTAAGGTGATCATAGCTCTATTTTACTTTGGCTCTGAGAGGTGAATTGGCCGATTATTTGAAAATGTCTCTGTATAACCTACGAAATAAGCTGAAGTGTGATCTTTGCGCTTCTCCTTGGTAACCACCTCCACAGGGGCAGGGGGGTGGGGGTGAGCTAGGACTAGACGAGCTGTTTTCTTGGGTTGGGTTGGGTTGGGTTGGGTTTGCAGAACACTGCTATCAGAATCTGGACTAACAGATTAAAGGGGCTCTTTCCAAGAACTGTATGACTGGAAAAGCTGAGTTAGAATGCAGTTATTTGAAAAGCAGTCTCCATCAGAAAACAGCTTATGATATTTTTAAAAAAGATCTATATAGAACTTAATTCAGGAAAAGAAATTGACCTAACATAGCTTATGCTTTTCTCCCAGGTCTTAGGAATACGAGGTGCGCAGTTGAAAGATGCTCTGCCCTTTTCCAACCGTCTTTCTCAAGTGGTTAATCACCTTCTAAACTATGTTCTTACTGCATTGTTCTCTTAATCTTTCATTTCATTAAAAGGAATTTTTAAATTAAATTAAAAAATCAGAACTCATATTATGCAACATATTATGCAACATATTATTCAAAAAGCACAGCTTTGACTTTATCACATTTTGAAGTGACTGGTCTACTGTCTTCAGATCTGCAAGAAAAAATTTGAAAGAGGTAACGGTTGGTTTAGATACCAATTAATGTACAGTTAGATAACCTGGAACCCAAAGCTTTTAATAAATTACCTTAATTTCCTGTAATTATTTTTTTAATGTTTATTTATCTTTGAAAGAGACGGGGTGCCTGGGTGGCTCAGTTGGTTAAGAGTCCGACTTCGGCTCAGGTCGTGATCTCATGGTTCGTGGGTTCGAGCCCCATGTCTGGCTCTGTGCTGACAGCTCAGAGCCTGGAGCTGCTTCAGATTCTGTGTCTCCTTCTCTCTCTCTCTGACCCTCCCCTGCTCACGCTGTCTCTCTCTCTCAGAAATAAATAAAACATCAAAAAAATTGTTTAATAAAATTAAATTTAAAAAATTTGTCAAATAAATGTTAAAAAATTTTTAAATAAATAAGTAAAACATTTGTGGATTGGAAAAATTCAGTATACAGAAAAACACAGATGTTTTCATTTTTGAAGATGGAGTCAGCGTGGATTCACAACTGCAGGTGTATAAATGGCGTGTTCTCTTCAAACACCGAAACCCGACTCCTGCATCAGTGTTCCTCCACCGTGACTGACCACGCAAGTACCCGGAGGGAAGACCTCCCCCGCCACCCGCTCACTGCCTACCTGCCACTACATGACTGCGGGAAAGGTGTTACAGAGTCATTGCATGGGGAGACTGACAAAGTGCCAGATCTGTCAGAATACAGAGCAGCGGTTTTTAACGTTTCGGGGTCCCCACACTGGAACACGGGCTTGAGAAGTGTGCAGAATGCTCTGAGGCTCACAGCACAAGCCAGCCCCGCATTAACCCTGACCTCGCACAACCAACAAACGTAGATTTATGCAAACATCTCCACTTATTTAGGTCTTTTCATTTAGAAGACAGTACCGCTTTTAAACACGCTTGGACATCTGACCTTCTCTCAGGCTGCGTAGACATCATGTGGTGAGGTTTCCACACCTATTTGATCATTTGACTTGTTGCCTAATATTTAGTGGTTTTGACCAATTTAAAACACAAGCTAGATCTGGGTGACGGGGGAAGGGACTGGCTGTCCCGTGCCTGCACCTGCAGCGTGCCAGATCGCAGAGCTTCCTGCCCTGAGGCTCTCCTCTGCTCACCAAGTCAGCCCCGCGGGGGGGGGGGGGGGGGGGGGGGGGNGTAGAATCAAAATAGGAGGTGCCCAGGGTCCCACCCCACACCCCCCCCCGGAGAACAGAGAATTCGAAGGTACTGTGGGGCGGGGGGGGGGGGGGGCGGGGGGGGCGCTCAGGGCAGGTGGGCCCCCTCCGAGGCAGCCTGATTGGGTGAAGCTGTGTCTTCCACCCTAGAGACACGGCGTCTGCAGTGCTTTCCGGCAGCAGCAGGACCCCAGATGTAGATATTTATAAGTCACTGAAAGGTGAACTGGTTCTGATCGAGCAGAAGTGGGGATAATCTGCCAGCTGACTTAGGATAACAATTATAAAAGAGCTGGTAAAACAAGGAAAACAAGGCACCTAATTGTTCAGTCAGAACTGCTTATACAATCAGAAATATTATAATGAGAATAACCTATTATTCTAATATATCAGAATAAAATAGACATAAGTATCTCAATAAAATAAAGTTGTGACTCTCTGCATATGGCACATGGATATAAATCCAGCCTGAGACCCGAAGCCAAGCATTTATTTGCATCTTCCCAAGACTGAATGCAACATCCCACTGAAAAGGTTTGCACTGCGAGAGGCCGGGGTGGAATGTTCACGAACCACTGTGCTGGGTGAGGGCTCAATGCACACGCGTCTTCTTCCAGCGGTCGTATGGACTCGTTGTCTCTGACAGAAACTATTTTATAACCCCCAATCTCTAACTCGTCATAATTTGTGTTTTGACAGAAGTATAATTTGAGGAGTGGTTGTGAAAAGCACTTTAATAAAATCCAATTTCTAAATGGTAGAGCTTATCATTTAAACTGTACACTTTTGGGGGCGCCTGGGCGTTCGGCTTCGGCTCAGGTCATGGTCTTGCGGTCCCTGGGTTTGAGCCCCGTGTCGGGCTCTGTGCTGATGGCTCGGAACCTAAAGCCTGCTTCAGATTCTGCTCGTGCTCTGTCTCTCTCTCTCAAGAATAAATAAACATTAAATTTTTTTTTTAATAAATAAACTGTATACTTTTTAAGGAACTATGACAAGGAGTGTTTCTCTTAGTCTATTTGGAAAAGAGCATTTGTTCATGTCCGTATTATTCCTGACGATTTTCCATGTAGTGCAGAGGCAATAATCCCCACAGTGTATTTTTCAAGATGAAAGCAATCAAAATATATGCCAAAGACAGACATTAATTTCCTAATAATGGCCTTACCATTTGTTCTTTACTAGAATTTTCAATCCCAGCTTGCACCATTAAGTCATTCACATTCTTCTGTAAATCTTCAATGCGATTTCCCATTTCTTCCAGTACAATGTTAAGGAGAATTGTATGCGGGGTACAGAGCACCAGCCAGAAAATCCTGAGAGACCTTGCTTCAAATTGCAACTACTCATCGAGGCTGTTGACAAAAATGCCCTGGCAGTGCAACTTTTAAAACGAAGGATTCAAAGACTGCATGTACTAATACCTTAAGGTCAGTGCAAATGAACTATTTCCTGAGGTTTTTGTAGTGTGTCTTTAACCTTTGAATTGTAAGCTCAGTTCTCTTATGTTTATTTTTGAGAGAGAGACAGAATGAGCAGGGGAGGGGCAGAGAGAGAGACACAGATTCCAAAGCAGGCCTCAGGCTCGGAGCTGTCAGCACAGAGCCTGATGCGGGGCTCCAGCCAACAGAACCGTGAGATCATGACCTGAGTGGCAAGTGGATGCTTAACCAACTGAGCCACCCAGGTGCTCCTCTTTTAAACAATTTTTTTTTTAATAGTTTATTGTCGAGTTGGTTTCCATAGAACACCCAGTGCTCATCCCCACAAGTGCCCTCCTCCATGCCTATCACCCCCCTTCCTCTCCCCCCACCCCCCACCTGCCCTCCGTTTGTTCTCGGCATTCAAGAGTCTCTCATGGTTTGCCTCCCTCCCTCTCCTCCACTATTTCCCCCCTTCTTCTCCCCCATGGTCCTCCGTTAAGTTCCTCCTAATCCTCCTATACGTGCAAACATATGGTATCTGTCCTTCTCTGCCTTATTTTGCTCAGCACAGCACCCTCGAGTTCCATCCATGTTGCTACACATGGCTCTTTTAAACAATTCTTAAGGAATAAATTCAATTGGTAAAGTGAGCTCTAGCCCTCTAAGTCTTAGGACAGATATTATGCTTATCTGGATTTGCTCAAACTGGAAACAAACATTCTACCCTAATTCTGTTTGAATTCATGTCTTAACAAGACAGTGAGCTGCGGAAGTTGCAAAACCAAACAAAACGCAGGTCAGGAGAGCCATGTAAGGCACCCTGTGTTGAAGACATTCCATATGATGTTTGCAAGTTTCTGATTCCTTGGAAGCGCATACATGTTACTCAGCAGGACTACTCAGATTTATTCAGGGCTTGGTGGGAAATCCGCCTGGGTGGCAGTATTGTGCATCGCTCTCCACACACAGCGCTGTAGGGCTGGTCAAGCAGGAAGTAATTACCTGTGAGTGCTAATTAGTACATCAGGATATCATGGAAAGGCACAAATGTAAACACCAGGAAATTGTAGGTCAAAAACTACCCATTAATAGCAGACAAAAAGATATCCCTGGACAATTTTACAGTTCAAAAGCATTATAGTATTTGTTATAAGATAGAAAGGATATTTCTTAGGTTCAGTGTTGCAGTTAGAGCTTGAAAATGTTCTTGAAGTTCCTGAAATAGGTTTTCTGCCTGAAAAAATGAACCATGAGACAATTGAATATATTTACTCTTGATGTAGGACGTTTTAGCATCAGGGAATAGAACCTCCTTATAAATATATAGTTAGATTTTGGACAAGGTGCCAAGACCTTTCAATTCAAAGGCTAAGAAGAACTCTTTTCGAAACCGTGCAGGAACGACGAGATGGCCAAATACTACCTAAATAAGCAGATGGACCCCACACTGTGCGCAAAAATTAACTCAAAATGATCATACACCTAAATGTAAGCACTAAAACTATCAAATGTCCAGGAGGAAAATTAGGAGAGTGCCCTAAAAACCTTGACGGGCGGCAGTCCGTCTCCCGCCCCCTGGGGTAGGTCCTAGCTGGGGCTGGGGTCCGAGCAAGCGCGGGGGCTTGCCAAGCTGAAGCTCCCTCCTCACCCCCGAGTCTGATCCCCATTTCAGAGATGGGAATGCAGAGGCCGGTGTCCCTGCACGGGCTGCACTCACAGAGGCGGGTGCTTCGGCCTCCACCAGGAGGTTTCCCTTCAGAGGGTTTGGTTTTAACCTTTGTCAAGAAAATGTAAAGTACGTATAACCTAACACTCTTGGCCAGAAGACAAAGCAGCCTTTGAATACAGCTTCCGGGCGGACGGGAAGCGAGGAGACGCGGGGCCCCGAAGGGTCTGCGCCTGGGGGGGTCGGGGGGGGGCCTGCCTCAGTTTCCCCTTCGGCTCGCCCTCCCGCGTCCCGGCCCTAGTCCAGGACCCCAGGCGGGGGGCTGGGGGGACGCGCAGTCCGGGAGGGGGTGCGGCGCCCAGATGGGGGCAGGGCGGGGAGGGGCGCGGAAGGGTGGGGGGGTCCCCGCTCACCGCGTCCCGCAGCGCGTCCCCGCCCGGGGCTCTGGGTCCTCGCGCGTCCATGCCGGCGACGCGGGCGGTGCAGGCGGCCCCGCGGGGCGGGTGCGGGCGGGGCGGGGCTCCGGGCGGTGCTGGGCCGACCCCGCCCCGCCGATCCCCGCCGCGCAGAGACGCGCGGCCGCGGGATGACGCCCCAGAAGGCAGCCGCAGGGCGTGGCTGCTCGCGCCGCCCACCGGGGGCGGGCCCGGGAGGGGCTCGGGGAGGGGCTAGGTGAGGTCGCTTCTCCTGGGGGGAAGGGCTCCGGGG